ATTGAAAAATACAATAACAAAAATAAAACACTCTCTGAATGGGCTCGATAGTAGAGTGAAGATGACAGAAGATAGAGTCAGTGACCTACCAGATCAGTATAATGACTTGTGAACAGGGCAGGTCAAAGGAATTTACCCAATCTAACCACAGAGAGCAGACTCCAAACAGAATAAAACCAAAGAAATCCACACCAAGACACCTAAAATTAATTACCTGAAAACTAAAACAGAAAAATATCTTGGGCCCGGCCGGGCGTGGCTCAGCGGTTGAGCGTTGGCCTACGATCCAGGAGACCACGGTTCGATTCCTGGTCAGGGCACATGCCTGGGTTGTGGGCTCCATCCCTAGTCGGGGGCGTGCAGGAGGCAGCCGATTAATGACTCATCATTGATGTTTCTATCTCTCTCTCTTCCTCTCTCTGAATATATCAATAATATATCAATAAAGATATATTTTAAAAAAATATTTTGAAAGATGCTAGAGATAAACAATGTATTAACATCAATTGGACATCAGATTTCTCATCTGAAATCATGGCGGCCAGAGGGAAGTGGCATACATTTTTCAAGTGTTAAAAGAAAAGAGCTGTGAACCATGAATTCTATATCTGGCAAAACTATCCTTCAAGAATGAAAATAGAGACATTATCAAGTGAAAAAAAAAAAGAATTTGTTGCTAGCAGATCTTTCCTTAAAGATTGGCTAAAGGAAGTTCTTCAACCCTAATGAAATGATAAAAAAAAGATTCTTGGGAACACCAGGAAAGAAGGAAGAAAATGATGGGAAGAGCCGAAATATAAGTACATATAGTAAATAAATGATCATTTTCCTCATGAGTTTTATAAATCATATATGATTTATAATTTTAAAAATTATAATGCCATTTGATACTCAAGACAACAATGTTTAATTTAAAAGAGTGGAAGTTAAAGGGATCCACACTTCACTTGAAGTGGTAAAATGTTGACACCAGTAGACTGTAATAGGTTTTGTATGTATATTGTAATGCCCAGAACAATCACTATAAATATTATACAAGGAGATAGAGTAAAATTCACAATATGAATTAAAATGGACTCTCCAAAATGTTTCAGTAGCCTGCAGGAAATTAAGAAAAGAATAACAGGAATAGGAGGCAGAGGAAATAAGAGGGACATTTTATAATGTTAAAAGGATCTGTCTCAACTGAATGGGAGTATGCACTAAACATCATAGGCTCAAAATAAATCAAGCAAAAATAAACATAGATGAATGAAGTAATTAAAAAACCCATTTATAGTTGAGGACTTAACACTCTATCAGAAAACTGCTAGAAGTACTAGACTGAAAATCAGCAAGGATATATAAAATCTGAACAACACAACTAATAGGACCTAATTGACATATATAGAACATATCACCCCAAAATAGCAGAATACTTTTTTTTTTGAGCGCTTATGGCACATTCACAAAGATAGACTAAAACCTAGGCTGTAGAACAAACCTTAGCTGATTTACAAGAATTGAAATCAGGTAGTGTGCTCTCTGACCATAATGGAACCAAACTCGAAATCAATAATAGAAACAAAAGGAAACTCTAAATTTATGGAAACTAACACATTCTTAAATAAGTCATGGGTCAAAGAGTAAGTCAAATAGAAATGAAAAAATACATAGAACTGAATGATAATAAAAATAAAGCACATCATGTGTAGGATGCAGCTCAAGCAGTGCTCAGGGAAATTTACAGCAATAAATGCTTACATTAGAAATGAGGAAATATCTGGCCTTGATCGGGTAGCTCAGTTGGATAGAGTGCCCTCCCTATATGCCAAAGTTGTGGGTTCGATCCCCAGGCACATAGATAAGAATTAACCCATGAATGCATAAATAAGTAGAACAAATTGATATCTCTCTCTCTCTCCCTCCCCCCTTCCTTTCTCTCTAAAATCACTACGTAAAAAATTTTAAATTAATAAGGAAAGGCGTAGACCCTAAAATAGCTTAAATGATCTTGACAGAGAAGAATAAAATGGGAGGGACCACACATACTCATATTGTAGCTTATTGTCTCACTTCAATAATCAAGTCAGTGTGGTATTGGCAGAGGGATAGACGCATAGATCAATAGAGCAGAATAGAGATCCCAGAAATCAGCCCACAAATATGCTTAACTGATTTTTTTTTTTTATAAAGTCAAAAACAGTTCCTTAGAGGAAGGGTAACCTTTCCAACAAATGGTGCTGCGACAATTAGATATCGATAGGCAAGACAAACAACCCAACAACAATAAACCACACCAAAAGTACACACACACACAGAAGAATCATCTTAAACGTCATATATCTTGCAAAAATTACTTCAAAATTAATAGGGAATTTAAATCTGAAGTGTCAAAATATAAAACTTTGAGGAAACTCCCCCAGTGTTTTAAAGAAAAACATGCCATTCCCCTTTACGTTTTTAGCCCTTCCTTTTTCAGTTTGCACATTCCACCTCTGTGAAGTTCTCGCTGGTCCCGCAAGCCTGGCTGGATTAGTCATCCACCCCATGGGCTCCCGTAACACCATGATGGAAAATAGTTTTTGCTCTGCTTGCTCAGCCCCTGAGTCTTTTCATATATGGGGAATTCTTTGTTAAATTAGGGTCCGCTGCCTGCCCCAGAAGCCAAGGAGGACAGATGCCACTTCTTGGTACCACACCTTGGCAACCTGGGTATCATCTAGGATAGTCATTCTCTTCAGCCTGAGACTTTGAGTTGGCAGTGAGCAGTGGGAAGGGACTGTGACGTGGTGAGCTCATTCTTGTGCCCTTGACAGCAGCATCTGTTTTTCAGAGGTGGTGCTGCTGCTGTTATCCGGAGAGTGGTGGTGTCTATAGTAGAGGGATTTTGAGGGATTGAGTGGTGGTCCTGTGGTCAGTCTTCCTTCATTCCTTCCTTTCTAGAGATTTTGTGAGCTATGAGATCTTTTCAACAAATTTCTTTCCTGTTTGGCTAGAGTCCATTCTCCCTCTCTCCCTCCCTCCCTCCCTTCCATGTTTTTATTGATTTCAGAGAGTTCAGGAAGGGGGAGGGAGAGAGAGATAGAAACATCAATGATGAGAATCGTTGATTGGCTGCCTCCTGCACGCGCCCTACTGGGGCTCAAGCCTGCAACCCAGGCATGTGCCCTGACTGGGAATGGAACTGTGACTTCCTGGTTCATAGGTTGATGCTCAACCACTGAGCCATGCTGGCCAGGCTAGGGTCAGTTTCTTTTGCTTGCAAAAAAAGATCTTGATGGATTCAATCGCCATATCATAGCGTTGCCATTCTGCCTGCTTACTTGCCACTCACTACCTTACACCACGTCATAAGTAGAGGTTTTGTCTTACTCATCAAGAACAGAGCACGCTTGGATATATTAACTCTCAGTAATGAAAATGAGCACGTCTTCAATTCTGTTTCTCTGTTGGCATGAGAGTGGAAATTACTCTGTTTGGCATTTGGTGGACCTTTAGTTTTCAATACTACTTACAAGATTTGAATGTTTTCTTTGCTTTCTTGAATATTTTATTGGAAATTTGTAAGCACCACTATCCTGAACAATATTTTTCTTCCTTCACTCCTTTTTTCCCCCTTAATGCAAGTACATTTGACCCTTGAACAACACGGAGGTTAGGTGCCTCTACCCTTACAGTCGAAAACCTACATGTAACTTTTGACTCCCCAAAAACTTTACTACTAATAGGCTACTGTTGACTGGAAGTCTTACCAGTAACACAAATGGTCGATTATCACATGTACGTTATATGTATTATGTACTGTATTCTCACAATAAAGTAAGCTAGAAAAAAGAATATTATTAAGAAAATTATAAGGAAGAGAAAATACATGTGCAGTATTTATTGAAAAAAAATTCTCATCTAAGTGGACCTGCACGTTTCAAACCTGTTTTGTTCCAGGGTCAGCTGTACTGAGATGGGTGGGGAACTCCTTTTATCAGGACAAAAAAGAAAAGACCTCCTAATCAACTGACATGTAACCAAGCTGGTAGATTTTATATCTAATTTTCTTTCATTGTGGACAGTGTTATATTATTGTGATGTGTAATGTTCACACACACACACACACAAAGGCTACCTAATAGTGTCTCCTTGTTTGTTGTTGCTGTTGTTAATTTCATCATATTTCAGTTACTTGGGCTTAAAGTCTCATTGATCTTGGATGACTTCCTCTGTTTTGCCCCTCTAATTGGGAATGCTGGTGGTTGTACCTCTTTAGTTCCCTTCTCCTCTCCTCTGTTGATATTATGAGCCAAGCCATTATGACTTCTCTTGCATAACCTCTTCACACGTTTCCCTTTTAATGAAATCAAGCCAATCATACACAGAGCTTCTGGACAAATCTTTTTTTATCATACCTTATAAAGCTTGATATTATTTTGTGACTCCAACCCTAATTAATCTGCAGTATTTCTTCAAATTACCCATTCTTACTGTTGTGGTTTTACCACTCACATATTAAATAGTGCGGTTTTTAAAAAAAAAAATAACCTGTTTATATACATGTGACTTGTCCTCTCAACAGTCTCAATATGTTCAAATTCTGCTGTTCAGTTGACATGGAATATGCTCTAGGATGCATTCCCTTACCCACCTTCCCTTATTCAAAGCAGAGATGCTTTTTCATATGACCAGCTACTGCATTTTCTGGAGACTGTGTTATCTATCCCTTGTCATTATGTATTATTGAACTGATTGACACAGTTGGATGGATTTAAAATGAAAGTATCAGTGGTCCTCCCTGTAGAGCTTTCAGAGTTAATAATCTTAGGTTTATTTCATTGAGTTTTAGAAAACACAAGTCATTATCAAAACACTATAATGCTATAGTGTTAATTTTCTGCAGCGTGCAGATAGATATCAGTAGGGGTATTTATGGTTATAAAACATGTGATTTCTTCTTAAAAATGATGCATTGGTGTTTTGTTTCTGTGCTTTGAGGATTTTATTTGAATTATCATTTGTTTTTTCCTCAGTCAATGCTCCGAGGGAGAGGAGGTTGCTATAAACATACATTTTATGGCATTGAAAGCCATCGTTGCATGGAAACCACCCCGAGCTTAGCATGTGCAAATAAATGTGTCTTCTGTTGGCGGTAAGTAAAAATGAATGGCTATGGTGACCAAATATGTAATGATCTGTAATAATCAATTTCTGCCTAACACTGCACTCAAATGTACCTAAAGCTTTGGTGTTTCTGTAATTAATCCCCTTTTCCATTCCTAATATTATATATTTATGCATTTGGTTGTTTTTCTTGACCAACTTTATCAGGGGCTTGTCAAGTTTTTTAGTCTTTTTTAATAACTTGTTTTTAGCTTTGTGAATCCTATTCCTTGTAAATGATTTTCTTATTCACTATCTACTACTGTTACTACTATCGTTTTTGATTCTCTGTTCTTTTCCTAATTAAATTGGACCATTAACTCATTAATATTCAATCTTCTGTAAGTCTTTAATTGTAAATTTCCCTCTAAGTATTTCTTTAGCTACATTCCATGGATTTTGATTAATTATTCAATTGTAAGTATTTTCTGATTTCCATTATTACTTCTTTGTAACTCATGGGTCAAAGAAATATTTATTTTAAAAATTACACATAAGTTAGATTTGGGAGGTTATATTTTTGTTATTAACTTTAAACCAAATTGTATTATGGTTTAAAGTTACATGGTTTGTACGTGATTTCTAATACAAATTATTTAAAATTCATCGAGGACTGCTGTCTGCCTAGTATATGGTCAGGTTTTAAAAATCTATTATATGCTCATGAAAAGAGTATATTTTTTAGTTGTCAGGTTCTAAATCAGCAATAAAATCTATTCTTTATTATTTTTTATTTGTTTTATCATTATTTAATAGTTCTTTTTAGTAGTTCTCTTTATCCATAGCAATGTTTGTTGCCTTAACATGTATGCTTTCTGATGCTAATATAACTATATTAGATTTCTTTTCTATTATTAACAATTGCCAGGTTGTTCTTTTTCCTTCCTTTATGTAACTTCAACCTTTATGTGTCTTTATATTTTAGTTGTGTTTCTTGTAAACAAGTGTTTGGCTGGATCAGTTTTAAAAAATCAACTTTATTGAAGTTTTATTTACATATAATGGAATACACCCATTTAAAATATACATCTCAGTGAATGTTGGTAAATGTGTGTACCTGTGTGGTTATGAACACAGTCAAGATAAAGAGCATTTTCATTATCCTTGGAGTTTCCCTTGTGCCCCACTTCCAGTCATGTTTCCTGATTTGCTTTTTGAAAATATATATTACTGTGCTTTTTCTATAGACTTTATAGAAATGGGTCATTAGGTATGCATTTTTGTGTCTTTTCCCCCTTCCTCAGTAAAATGTTTTTGAGTTTTATCCATGTTTTTAGGTATATCAGTGGTTTGTTTCTTTCTATTGTAGGGTTTTACCACCATTTGTTTATCTGTGCACCTCTAGTTGAATATTTGAGATTTATCCAGGTTTTGACTGGATTATGAATAAAGCTGCTGTGAACATTAGTGCATAAGTCTTTAGGTTTCACTTCCTTCTTGTTATGAGCCTAAAAATGAGTTGTAGGTGGAAGTTTAGGGTCTCCTCGGGTCTTTTCTTAATGTGCATCCTGTCTTGAGCATGTTTACGGCTTTCTAAATTCCCCAGCATGTGCTATACTTTTTAGTGCTCTGATTCCCCAAAGAACGTGTCTCCCAGCTTTTACTCCCAGGAATTCATTCAGCTCTCTGTGGTTTTCCTGAACTGTAATCTTGTGAGGCAGTCATCAGGTTGTTATTTTTCTACTGTGATCTAAGTTAGATTCCTTTTAAAAACTTTTATTATTTAGTTTTTTGAACATAGCTAGTGTGAATAGTATAATGAACTTCTATGTACATTTGTTAACATATGGACAATCATGTTTCATTCACCTAACCCAGTCACTATTTTGAAGCAAATCCCAGCCATCAGATTGTTTTATTTTGTACATCAATTGACAGATAATATAAAAATAAGGCCTTTTAAAAAAGAATATAACTGTAATACCACTATCTCACATTAAGTTCTTTACATGTATTCTCTTTTCTAGTTATCCAGGGATATAGTGAAAACACTGAAAAGTATTTCTTTGGACATCCTGCTAAATCTGTGGTTCCCGGCTAGGGCAAAATTGCTATTTTTCACCCCATGGGGAAGCTTGGGGCATTTTAAGGTAAGAGGTAATATCTTACTCCTGATATTTCCTTTGAAGCTTAACCTTCAAAAAGCTTCAAGGTCTGGAGACATTTTTGATTGTTAAAACTGAAGAAGATGCTGCTGGTATCTAGTGGGTAGAGGCCAGGGATGCTCTCAAACATTCTATAATACACAGGACAAACTTCTACAACAAAGAATTTTCCAGCCCAAAATGTCAGTTGTGCTGCATTTGAGATATCCTGCATACAGTGGTCCACAGGTACTTTTCAGTAAAGGGAATTGCTGGAACATGGCAGCATTGAAATGAAATGATACATCACATCTCCTTTTAGTGATAGAGTATATGCTTAGAAAACTTTTAAAGTATTATAGGGTGAGCATTTGCAAACCAAAGACATATTTTGGGTCACATAATACTTAGCTTGTAGGAGAAATAATCAAGTGCTTTGTGTCCTAGTTTTCATTGTTTCACATTTTACAATCTCTTAATCTCTTAAAATGAAAAAAAATCAAATTTTACGATCTTTTCCTAAGATTGTGGACATACTAAGTAGTTGCTTTTTGAAGGTTAAGCTTCAAAGGAAATATCAGGAGTAAGATATTACCCCTTACCTTATTACCTATTCAAGCCTATTATAGTAATTCTTAATTAGTAATTAAGAATTACAGCCAGGCCGGGCGTGGCTCAGCGGTTGAGCATCGACCTGGGATCTAGGCTATCGGGTTTCGATTCCCGGTCAGGGCACATACCCGGGTTGTGGGCTCGATCAATGACTCTCTCATCATTGATGTTTCTGTCTCTCTCTCTCCCTCTCTTTTCCTCTCTCTGAAATCAATA